GCATGATCCCCTTTTTGAGCTCTATAAATTGCCCTACTTTTTGACTGAACTTTCCTAGCAATCTCTGTGATCTTATCTCTCCATGAATGGGGACACTCCCGTCCTTTGTTGTAACTCTAAAAATGTATATACCGGATAGAGGTCTATGCGTAGTCTTTAGTTTATAACATTTCCACATTTAACATGAATAGAAAACTTATATTTTCTTTTATTGGGCTAGATTATATTGGAAATGCTTGTCCTATGTATAAGGTGCACCGTTTTATGCTATTTATATGTTGTACGTGTCATATTCATCTCTCATTTATTTGGTATTTTAATAATGCCATGAGGGGACATAGGTGGGATCTCCTGTAGAAGAGATCTACAGGCAAGGAAACGTGTTACTTAATAATGCAGATATATACACGAATGTATATCCTTTCTTAAATCACTTATTATCAAAACCGGTAAGGTGAGTTCAACTGGTGTTAGAGTTTTGACCTTTCTTACTACGCTTTTGAAGTTGAATTTTATTTGGGAAGAAAGGTACCAGTTAATTTACCTTGGAGGAAGGGTTACATCCTGGTGTTCGTTTCTTGTGATTACTTATTTTACCCCAAATTTATAGTTTACGTTTATATAGACTTACCGTGTGGATGGGCTACATGAAATAGCAAGTGCATGAACAGTTAAATCTAAAATAGATATAAGAGTTCATAATAACAACCGAAGATTATTTGGCTTAACCTGAAAAATTATAATTTTGGGGTCCATCACATGAAATATGAATTGTTGATGACCAAGCCGGTCATATGACCTAGAAGGTTTGGTTAGTTGTTCAGCTTTGATACAGCAGTGTAACATGAATCTAACTATGGGAATGTTAATGAGTCAGAAAAGTGAATGAAGGAAATAAAAAGAATAAATAGATGTAAAGAAAAAAAAGGTCATGGGGTTGTATCTTCTTTGATTTGATTTGATTTGATTTTTTTTTGTTAATATTGTGTGGATTCAATTAATCCGCCGTAAAAGAGGCATGGCAACTAAATAGTCCTCTCCAGTAATTATTTGCTGTTAGTCCAAATGATAAATTCTCTTTTCATAGATAGGTTACTTGAAGTAACAATTTATCTGGAGGTTTGATTTAAGGACTTGTATACAAAGTAGGTTAGATTTTAGACTTTTAGTAATTAGATTGACTTGAGGTGAAGACTATTATGTATCAAGAAAATACCAAAAACTAATGCTGTTGGGCTTATGGAGAAGTCCTGACACAAAATAGGCTTTTTTCTGAATAATTGATAGATCACTAGAAGATGTTTTATTATGATCACTTGAAAATCACTATCAACGTTATTTTAGATTGAAAAATTTCTATTTGAGATTGAGAACGGTTTGAATCCAAGTCTTTATCTATTGTGGCTTGAAGTTTATCTCTGACAAGGCAAGGAAACATGGGTAAGTCTAGGATTTTCAAGAAATGAAGGGAATGAAAGAAGAAGAAAATAAACGAGGGTTACCTGTGGTATGGTGCTCAATGCTGGTGCCTAAGCTCCTGTCTCCTTGTCTGTGAATTGTGCAATTCTGAGTGCCTCATTAGAACATTATTGACTCCCACCCTTTCTTATGCTTTGCAAATAGTGTTATATCACTAATGAAACCGTAAGGTGCTGTCCGAATATTTCGTCTATTATGTTAAAATGCATACGTATTGTATATTCTTTTATGATTTGAGGCTTGGGTGTAAGTTTAGATCTTCTCATGGAGGAACATGCAGAAAAAATGACATGAACACGAGTAAAAACCAAAGACTAGAGTCTCGAAAGAAATAGAATGGAGAAGTAGAAATTGAAGTCTGGGGAGGTAAACGAAGGAATTAAAGATTCGCTGCTTTGGGGGACAGGCTTTTACCGACCCTTTCTTGGAAATGAAAGAGCCGAATGAGAGAGAAACAGGTTCCTCTCTCTCTCTCGCTCAATCTATAGTGACTTGTAGCATGGACCACAGGTGAAATCTCTTCGGTCCTAGCTAGATTGACCTCTCTCCCTGGTGCGACTCCGACTTGGTATTAAGTATTTTTTAGATTTTAGATTATTTTTCGATGCTATTACAAAAGGCATTATTTGACGTGTGATTTGTTTAAAAAAAAAATTGACCAGAGAGCCAACTTATTTGAGATTTTTTTCCTGCATAATTTTTTTTCTTGGGTCGCACAATGGTTTTGTTTTTTCTTGAACCTATTTCATTATGCTGTTATTGTCTCACTCAGAGAATTATTTGTCCTCTTACTTATGCCAAGTCATCAGTTGTCAGCATTTATATTTATTGTACTTATAATTATAATTACACATGTATTTATTTTGTTGTCTGTTTGGGTGCATGGGCCTGGGTGATTGTGCCCAGTCACTCGTTTAAACAACATTATTGTCGAAAAATTGCATTGCTAAGACTGGGGCGTTCAACTTGTGGGTACTTTTCATACAAGGGTGATGAACAATGTCGCAGGGCAACCAATAAAAGTTGATGAAAGTAGTTATGGTTCGAACTGGTATGAAACAAGTTGCAGGGGTTAGTCAGGGTTTTTAAAAGCTCAAGAGACAAAGTTGAAGACTAGTATCAGAGGGTTTCTTTGTATTTTTGTATATTGGAAATCCAAATTTTGGAGCCTTATAAACTTGGTCATTCCCAACAAAGACGACATCTTTAGGATTTCCTTTAAATTGAAATTTAGAAGAATTATTTTTGAATTGAGGTGAAAATGACGGTATAAAACATTGTTTAAACACACAACATAAAAAATAGGAGGAAAGAAATAATGAGAAGTGTAATGAGTGGTAGGTCAGTAGTGTCTTATACACTGTCGAGTTGTACTTAGGGGAGTACCTCTAAAATCTGAATTCTGATAAGGGTTGAGTATTAAAGTGGGGTTGTCTCCCAGAAAGGAATATAAAAGAGGGGGAGTTGTCAGTGTCAGTGTCAGTGTCTGGATGGATAATGATCAGGGGGGGTGTTTGGTGGTGGTCAAGTCTTGTACTCTACCATCTCTCTTCCGAAAGTCTTTCTACTACAAGACAAGTCAATCCTTCTTATTCAACTCTCTCTCTCTCTCTCTCTCTCTCTCTCTCTCTCTCCTGATCAATGCGGTGAGTAGTAGTGTTGTTGTCTAGTTCCTAGTCTCTCCAGTCCCGCATTGCTTCCCTTCTGCCAGCCAGCCAGCGACCCAGCCAGCCACCCTGCCTCATTGCACCAGACCAGCCATAATAACCCATCAATTATAAGTTAAAAGAAACAAAGAAAAAGCCTACTACAAACCTGGACTGCTCTCCCCTTCAACTGAAAAGCTCTGGGGGAGTCTAGGGTTTCGTGTCCAGTCAAACTAGGCAGTGTTTGGTTTTGCGGAAATATCGGAACTTTCGGGGGCATATATCACAACTTCTTCGGGATTGGATTAAACTTCTTTAATTTAATATTTAAAAATATTTAAATTTTTGTATAATCGAGTTTTTCAACATTTTCGTCTGGTTGGCATGAGTTTAACTTTGGTCAAATTTCAGCCATACACCCCCCCCCCCCCCCCGGCTTTTAAACTTTCTTTCGAAACCTACTTAATTCTTCTTTCTTTCAAAATTTTATTTAATTTCCCAATTTCTTAAAACTCCACTCTTATGCCTTAAATTAAATAAGTACTTAGCTTATGATACTTGAAAATTATGAGATTAAGGAACTGTTCGGCACGTTAGGAATTTTATTTTTTAGATCCTTAGGGGTTGTGGGGATTTCTGAATTAATTTCTTATTTGTTGGAGATGAATTTTCAAAATCGGAGCTTTGTTTTAAAAAATTCAACGTGGGGTTTTAAGATTTAATTCTTTAATTCTCTTTATTTAATAGTAAAAATCCTTTATTTTATGAGAACTTTCCTTGAAATTTTAGAGCATTAAAATTGGAAGTCTTGAAATCATACATACAAAAGTTCTGAAGTTGTGTTTCTACAAGTGGGATTAAATGTGATAATATTAAATGGTGGGGACTATAGAGTATTTGATTACTCTACTAGCTAGTGGTAGGTTAAGACAGCAATTGGTTGGGGTTAGGGGCTGGATTAAGTCCGTGGTATGTGGGTGACTTTGGATTTGGATTTGGACTGCTATCTGACCACTTTTCTCCTAACTTTATACCTGTATATTTGCCTGCAAGATAATTACAGTACTTTATATTTTGTCTCTTTTTTTCAATTAAAAATAAAAATTCATAAGAAAATACCATCAATTTCATAATTTGATGTATTTTTATATTGAGATGATAATGTATAAGATTTGGAATAAGATTATAAATAAATTATTTTAAAATTCTGATTTCTTAGATTGTGACCTTACCACAATTTATAAAAATTTCAGAACGTTTCGGAAAATACACAATCCTCCTAGGGGCAATATTAAGACAGGGTATTTGGGTCAGGTAACAAATCCCAAAATCCCCAAAGGAGGTGAATTTTTAATTTGACTCGCCAATAGGAGGATCGACCTTGCTGTTGTTACTTGGCAAACCAGGTTCGAGTCTACAAGTTCCGAGGAACCTCCGGACAGAAGTGTGCTGGTCTTCTTCCGGGACCACCCTCCCATACCAAACAAGCCCTCGTCGAAGTAGTTTAATCTAACGGCTCTCTCCCCCTCCCTCTGTTTAATAATTTTAATTCTGAAGAGATAAAATAACAGTTACCGAATTTTACCACCCAAATAAAATATCATTTCAGTCTTGCCACTTCTACTGTGGATGCCCATTTCATTTTGGGTAAGAAAATAGGAATCTCTATTTCTACGAAACCATAAAAATTTTGGGATAAATTAGCTTTCACGTCGTCTAAATAAATTTGGAATCTTTTTTATTTTTTAATGATGAGTTGTTTATATTTTTTGTAATTACTGCTAAAAAAAAATTCTACAAATTGTTTTTATTTCCCGTAAACTGGGCAAATGTTGCAGATGTTTGGAGGTATTAATTCTCTAGCTGGTGGTTGGGATGCAGGTATGCTCGACCTGGCGGGCCGTGTCCCGATCCGATCTGCTGTGGCAGAACCTGACCCGGCGGATCTGGAATCGACACCGCCGTCTCCACGACACGTGGCGCGATGAGTTCGTCTTCCGCCACGTCACGTCCCGCAACTTCCTCGCGGCCCGATACGTCCACACCACCTTGCACTTTGTCCCCTCCGACGACGACAATAACCACAACAACGACAACAACAACGTTCGGGAGGGCCGTCTCTCCTGCCGCCGCCTCCGCCCTCTCCGACCCGCACTTCCTGGGCCCGATACTCTTCTTGCACGGTCCCCTCCGTCCGCCTAGGGCCGTCTCTCCACGCCGCCTCGCCGGACTACCTGGCCGCTGGATTCTCTGACGGCTCCGTCCGCCTATTCCACCTGCCTGCCGGCTTTCACCTCTCCACTCTCCGTCCCCACCACCGCGACGACCGCCTTGGCCGATTCTCCCGCGCCGTCTCCGGAATTATCCTGTCCGACAACCGCGTTGTGTTCGCTTCACTTGACGGTGACGTCCACGTGGCACCCACCAATGATGGTCTGCCGCCTCGCAGGGCCCAGTGGGGTGATGTGGTGAACGACGGTGCTCTCGTCGACTTCAGCGGCTGTGATCGGTGGTGGGTTGGCCTCTATGCAGGTATGCTACAGTTATATTAATATTTAGCAGGGTGGTCACTTTTTAAAATAAAAACGTTCGAGTAATATTTTGCAAATTTTTGAAACTTTTTGTGCAGAACAGAATTTGTAGAAGTTGAGAATCAAGAACTGTTTGAAATAATGAATTTTAAATGTCATGCTTTGCTACTTAAAATTGTAAGCTGGGATTTACGAGAAGTCCTTAAATGCATTAAATTATAAAACACTAAAAAGTTAAATTTTTAAAATTTTATAAAGATCTTCCTAACCAAACATACATTATCTAAGAAATCCTTTTTCACGAAATTAATGGCTTGAAAGGTTGGGGCTCTTGCTGTCTAAACAATTTTCGTGGTTGTAATAAATAGTTTTTTAAATTTATGGTTTATGAAATTCTTGAATAAATAATTACTTATTATGTTGGGTTTTCACGTAAATAATTAGCTACAGTTTTTAACTAATTAGATTTCTATATCTAGTTTTTGTAAATGAAATAATGATGCATTCGTATCTAATTTTGGGCCAGGATTGCCATTCGTGAATGTTTTGGACTTCTAATTTAATAAATTATTTTGAGATGCAGAATGAAGGCAGATGATGTGGAGAAAGATTTCAATAATATTCTAAATATTAGTTTGCGTAAACTATTTAACATTCTCATAAAAGTTGGATCCGCTTTTTAATTTTCCGGTACAGGCGTTCCAGGTCGTGCCTTCCACGTGTGGAACGGCGAAACTGAAGAGCTGGTCTTCGTGGGCGGGTCACTTACCGACCCGGCGGCGGTGATGGGTTGGCACTTGCTCAACGAGCTCACCGATTTCGTGGGCCGGGTCCGAGTCACGAGCCACGAATCAGCCGTGGCATGCACCAGTCACCGATTCATCGTATTTGACCTAGGAAATTTAGGCCTAGTCCTTGCTGACGAAGAGCTCCAACGGGGCCTCATTGTCAGCTCCGTGGATGCCGCAGACGACGCGTTCGTCGCGGTGGACTCCCGTGGTGGCGCTATTGTGCGCCGGGTGAGCACGCTAGAGGAACTGTTCGCCTTCAATGTGAGGGGCGCGTCGCAGAGGGTGTTGTTAGGGTGCATGAACTTGGGGTACGTGCTAATGTGCTCCGGTGGTGTGATCAGGCTGTGGGACTGGGAGGGGGAGAATGGCCGATATTTATACTTTCTGAGGGAAAGAGTGGGAGAGGTCAGTGCCATGGTGGCGGATGACAGACACGTGGCAGCCTGCGTAAGTGATAACACAATACATTTGTGGGATTTCGGGGCACAATAGCTACACAAAGAAGTCGAAATTTTTATTGACTGAAGCTAAAGGGAGGCATATTTGTTTCTCTGACGTTTATGTTCTGTTCTGGGGACATTTCAGTCTTTAAGATTGGCCCTTGACCCTGGTTGACTCATCAAGCCCTTTCTCATTGTTTCCTTCCCTTCTTTTTTTTATAAATTTTTTTGGGGGTGGGGTGTCTGCCTTCCTCTCTCTCATATTTAGGAAGCCGTAGTGAGATGTAGACATTGGAGCTTACTCTCAGTTGATAGATTGTAAACCTGAGGGGATGGTTGTTGTAACAGTCAGATCAGATGTAGGAGCAAGTTCATTTACTGGGTCTTTTCTTTTCTTTCTATTTTGATGAAAAATGAATTCAGGGGACTCCATTCGGCATTGGAACTTCTTGTCATCTAACAACTTGAAAGTTCATTTCAATTTTGTTCAAAGCAATGCAGAATTGTTCTTGTTTCCCCTCCCAATCAATTTTTTATTCATTTTGGAGCTTGCCTGGCCAAGGTTACACACGAATGAACCAATTCAGACCAGAGAATGGTTGATCCCATGAGGTTAAGTCTATAACTGTGTTTCTTTTAGGTAAACAAATCCGTTCTATAACTATTTTTCTTTTAGGTAGCAAATAAACTGATGCAACTTCTTACATCCATTCAACTTTCTATCAGTTATCTCCGTAGTGGATAAATGCAAGCCTAGTATAAATAGTTGCGTGTATTTTAAATACCATTTCCCAGTCAGTTTATCTAATTCCTGTTACACCCACTAAGGATAAATTAAAAATACAAGAATAAAAATGTTGGCTATTGTACAACTACCCAGGTTATGATCTCTATATACTCGTTGGTTCGGGAGAGGAGAGGGGGAGATAATATATCGTACATCCATGGCTGCGAGACTTGCCACCTTATAATACATCATCATTATTCTGGGGTCCATCAGTTCTCCCTGCAAGCAACCACTACTTTCTGAAATATTTTCATGTGATGTTGGAGGACATTCCAACTGCGTGAATTGGTCATAGTGATACTCAAGATGCAGGACAGAATGAATTTGATTTTCTTCAAGGACACGAGGTTCGTGAGATTTCAAGGTTGCATGCGGGGTTATGGTTGTCCAATACCCCTCTTTACAAGCATATCATAAACCCTATCCACCTTGCTTGGCTCAACACCCTTGATCAGGTCATGAAGATCGGATTTCTGGGTGATCTTGCCATTAAACACGCCCATTGACATGTCCTGCAACATGTTGAAGTAATGTGAAGGTAGGATCCTCAGCTCACTGCATAGCTGCTTCTCCTGCATGTGAATATCACGGTTCAAAATCTAGAATCAAATCAAGCTGCCAAACAAGGGAGGGAAGGTACGCTTGGTGTCACATGGACCACATGACCGGTACAAACTTTCAATGTTATATTCACCTATATAGACCCAAGGACTTGGAAATGTGTTCTTGTTTCCCAATGCTTCTGCTTTCTAAAGTGAAGAGCTACATGTTATGAAACATTCCATGCAGAATAGGAGCTCGATATGTGGTCGAGCAATGAAAACTTGCACAGCATACTTCTTGGGTAATGTTAAACCCCAGATTGTCTGATGACTCAGGCCCATGTATCCCATACCCTTTCCATGAGTCAAATGTCCAATTGAGTACTTCATATATGTGTAAGGTTTATGCAACAATAATATTTGGGAAAATTACCAAATCAGTTAACTTGGTAAAATTTATCACTTAGAGGGCCAGTATCAAAAATACTGATCTGGAAGATTTCAAGCAAAAGTATTTACCGAGGAGGTAAATTGATTCTGCACCGTCCAACCCAAATGCCCCCGGCTGCAACCCTATTGTCAGCTGCCAACCTTTTTCTTTTTCATTTCCCAGCTACATGCTTGTAATTTTGCAGCTTTATACTTGAAATTTTACAGCTTTATCTTAGCAATTTTACGGATAGACGGTTATAATTTACAGATGTAATTTTACAAAGACATATTTGTAATTTGGGTGTAAAAAAGTGTGGCAGAACATTTTGAAAAATCAAATTATCTTCTATGTCAATATTTTTTGTTTTAAACGTTCCAGGTCAAATATTGGCATCCTGATAGTCACATAATATTTTCCTATTTGAAAACGTCAAAAATTATCTAGCAATTTGCAAAGCCATTAGTTAAAAGAAGAACTAGTTGATCATGACATTACTGTTTGCCTCGTGGATCACATAACAACTTGTAAAGACAACTTGGCAAAAATTCAAAGCTAAACGCCTCCTTTTTGTGAAGCTAGTAGTAGGAAATGAGAATATATTCTTACCGTTTCAGTGAGAAGGTCGGCCCCTGGAAATCCAGTGATGTCCCAACAATCTAAGGAGCTAGAAATAGTTTGTCCTGCTGTTGAAGAAGAGTCCTTGCCAACGGAATCTGATAATGAAGATCCTCGTGCATTTCCTCTGGGACTGCTATCAGGTTCACCTTTCAGATGGTTTGCCCTCTGCAAAAATTTACCACTAGGGCCAGCCTGGGCACCATCCTTCAATTTACGAGTATTTTCTTCAGCTTCCTTCTTTTTTTGCTCAATAAATCTTTCAGCCTGAGCAGAAGTGTGGCATCCAGCAGCTCGGGCCTCCTGTACATTTATTTTCATATAAATACCAGAGGTGCAATTCTGCTCAAGATTAATCAAAGGGGTTTTACATAGAAGCTTTGTGAACAAGAAAGGAAATCATGGTATCAGGTACAGAGCCAACCATGCAGCCTTCTTCCCATAACAACCCCCCCCCCTCCCCCCCCAAAAAAAAAAAAAAAAAAAAAACCAACTTCCAAACAACCCAAACACTATATCAATTTCTATTTATATACAGGAATTTTCTTCTTTGATGGCTGGTGGGATGACTCAATCAAAGGTTGGGAACTTCAATCAGCCATAACAAGATTGTAAAGTTGGATTTTCATATATCATACCAGTTTTAGGTCTATACAGCTCTGCAGCCACTCCATGTATTAGTTAATTCTGACTATCCACATAACATAAAAATGAAAAGGAATAGAATTCTTGATTACCACCACTTACTTGGATGATGGTAACATAGAAGTAAGCAAATAGTTTAATTTGTCCTGTACACCAACCGTGAGCCCAGATCAAATATAAATAGCAATTTCATTTCTGATTTTGTTTCATATGCCCAGTATTTTGCTCTCTATGAATTCTGTTAGCATCAGAACAAAACTTAAACAAGCGACAAAAAGGTATTTTGACACACACACACACACACGCACACACACTAGTACTATTGGCCTGGTGGTAACTGGGGATTGCTGTGGACGGTCCACCTGGTCCAAGACTAATTGCATTTGAAGACAAAACCAGTTGATCCCAATCCTTGTATAACTAACTAGATTAACAAAGTTCATTGAGACAAGGAGGCAGGTATGCAACAAACCTGTAGATCTTGTATTCTCTTCAAAATCCTGTGTTCCTCGATAACACTCCTAACAAGTTCTTCATGCTCCTCTTTGGAATGGAATCTCATAAACACTTTATAACGCTGACAAATTTCCTTCTCTTCAGCTGAGACGTTCTTCTCAAATGGATCAGGATAAAGTAAATTCCTTTCCAGAATAAAATCCTTTCTCCTCTTTCTTTCATCAAGCCTGTGAAAATTCCAGATTTTTATGAATCAGGGGAAAGAAGAATAAAATAAATACGAAAATGTGAATGTCATCATAGGCAATATATCTTACACCATGGAGGCATGTAGTATAAATGATCAGTGTCACAAACAGAGTCATCAAAGGATCCAACGGGAAATTAATATTGAACAACTGGAAGTGTGCAAAGCAGTTGCAGCTACATCAATTGACAAACAGATATACATTATTCTTGAGCATTTCCTCATGAAAACTGTTGGCAGGCCAACTGGTATATTAAGAAAGCAAGCCATATCTAATGGGTTTGGTCACACAGCTCCTTCCTAGACTCAATTACATATGAAATAACTTTATTCCATATGGGTTGTCTATAGGTCCCCAGGCCAAGTGGTGCATTTGCAATATCTTGGTTTCTTCCATACAACATGTTTGTTCAAGCGGTTGGGTCTAACAATTCCAAGGAGAAAAGTCAATAAAATACCTCTTCGAGTAAATACGCAACACCCGCAGCTTTAGTTCATGCTCAGCATCAGTATCTGTATCCTTAAATTCCATATCTGCGAGTAACTGTTCCGCATCATTATCATATTCAATCTCAAACTCTTGCCTCTTGAAATTGTAGCTAGTCAACTCAGTCATATGAGGCCCCTCATCCACTGATGTCCTAGGTTTTTTCTCTCCAACACTCCTGTCTGCATGAGAATCTACAAATAACATTGTGCAAGAAAAGATATCATGCATTCATTTTCTAAAAATGCCAAAAGTTTGGATAGTTTCTGCAACAAGCTACATGTACGCATTGTTTCCTGTTTTGTTTCAGGTAATCACAATGAAATTGTCAATTGTGAGTCACAAACATATGTTTCAGAAGTACAGACTATCAATTAACCTTTGAGTTTTCTGGAAAACAAGCATATATGTTAAATGAAATAGAAATTGTAGGAGAATATTAACTTCTTACTTCAACTAAAGATGGAGAAACTTGAGCAAGGTGGATATAAATCGGAAATAAGATCCATTATCATCTAGTCCCCCCATGGATGCCAGTTCCACATACACAAGAAGAATTCTGCCTAGTCTAATGCAAATTTAAATTGGTGATCTCCAAATAAATGACAACTATAATGGATTCCAGTAGAAAGAAGAACATGCAATAGAATAAGAAATGCTACCTTCTACCTTGATGCAATCATTACCATCCTTGATCTGGGATGCCAGTTTAACCGCACTAGTGGTGGTGTCACCACTACCCGCACCAACACCAGTACTTGTGTCTGATTTTAAGGTGGATCTCTTAATAACACATTGGATAAGAATGTGACTTCATTTCATACCAAATCAAAGAGGCAGTCTGACAAGTCACTGTCTATACCTGAAGCTAAGCTAGATGAGGATCGCCCTGTTATGCCTTCCTTCCGTTGATCTTCAATCCTATCCAAGGATGCCAAAAAATAAATTGACAGAAAACCACAAAGCTACTTGAGAAGACAGAAGGCACAGAATGATAACTCAGATTTACTTGACTTTGGTGGATAATGGAGGCTCTTCCTTTACAGCAAGGTCCCCATGGGTAGCAAATCCTGAGACAACAGGCAGTAGAAAAAAAAGAAAAAACCTTCAGTCTCAGATGACATGCAGAAACAGAGAAAAGATGGCTACTGGCCTTTCTTAAGAATCTAATGTTCTCACCAAGACACATGGACACCTCTAAGAAGATGCCTTGTCTCCGTTGGTGACAATCAAGACTGCTGACCAACTCTCAAGAACAAAGTGCAAATAAGATTTAAGAAAACAGCTTAGAAGCTGCATTTAGATTGCATGATTTGCTATTTTTACTTGTTTGCATGGCATGTCAGTGAATTCCTTATTGCCCATGTACAATTTTATTTTGAGGATGCTCCAATGTTAACTACTTATTGCCTTAATTTATATTGTACTTTTCCATTCCCAAGTCCTCTAATGTCAAGTGTGACTGCAATCAATATTTGAGGAGGTTCCTATTCGGACTTTGAAATTCTTTATAGCCCTTACTCTGCTACCTCTTAGAACTTGGTTTTGAGCTCCATAGCTGATGGTATTCAATCAGCCTTGCTAATTTTGCATAAATCAGTCCAATCTGGTTATACATAGCTACAATCTTGATCCAAGTGTTATTCAGGTCCATTTGGAAAATTGTAGTTTTTGGATCTTCTAACAGAGTCTGTTGGACAACTATGCGTGTAAGTTAGTTAAGTTACAAAACTTAAGCATGTTAAAAAAATAAAATAAACCGTAACAACTATAAGAATAAGAAAGAAACAGGAAATGACTTATTGATTGGCCAACAAAAGATGGCCCACAAAAGTATGCAAAAGAAATAAATAATTTGTTTCACAAAAAAATGGCCAGAATTGAACAATAATCTGTTTCACAGCAAATTTATTTCATTGTCCAACACCCTATTTAACATTCTATGACAAATAAATAAATAAATAAAATCTAAGACAGCACACACTCCAGAATAGAGCTAAAACAGAGAATTAAATCATTTGAAAGCTGACCTTTCTTAACTTCACTTTGCTCCTTGGCCATAGCAAGAAGTTCTTCCCTATTCTTTCCCATAACATGAGACATGTCCTGGGAGGGTATGGCATAAGAATTTACAATCAGATTTGTAAGTCTCCACTTGAAGCTGCTAAAGAAAAGAGATAAAATGGGATAACCACAGACATACCGGCAGAGGAAAGCATGGTGAGTTCATATATATAGCATTATAGTGCTCAATACATTGTGTTTTGCTTTTTGTACCAACATGCTCTGCAACTTCAGCCCAGTTCCCCAATCCGTACATTTCAATTCCCTGTAGAATTTTGTAAAAAAAGTTTTAGGAAAATAAGCCAAACTTATCCACATCCAATGTAAAACCAAAATAACAGAGAATAACATGAGAAAAATGAAGATTAAGTTCACAATAATTATCCATGTCCAATTACAAATAGAAAATAGCCAAAAATATCATTTAACAATTCCAAGCTTAATAGTACTAAGTGTACTAATCTACAGACAAATATATACATATGAATACCTCTAGGAGTAATATCTCTTCATCTGCATTCCAGTCGGGACATATTAGTGGAAATGACAAATTATCCTGTAAGAATCAAACACTTGAATAATACAAGGAATATTTGTCCTGATAGATGTTATCACAGAATTACTAAGGCTAATTGGATTTCATGTCAATCCTCAAAAGCCTCACCCACAGACATAACAAAATGGAAAAAAATTTCAATATAATGCAAGTGAAGGACTAATGACAGCAAGAATGCCAAGAAGATAACTTCATATAAACCAGTTTCTACTCCACACTAAATCTTATTTTCAAATTAAGGAAGAAACATCAAATCAGAATATTATGAGAAAAATGAAAATTAAGTGAACAAAAGAACACACATGAATAGGTAGTAGGCAGAGGAATGTGCTTTGTGTTCGTTCTTCTGGAAACAGACAAAAATACAAAATGAAAAAAATTGTCAATACATAATGATTCTAGATGGATAATCTAGATGTCGCATTCATATTCATTTTAAATGCAAGCAAGCATACATGATCAACAACAGACACCATTTTCCAACAAAATAAATGTCCTTTCAACAGCTTTAACAGGAAACAGTGATTCTTGGCTTCACTCTGAGGCGTGTGCCACCATTTTCCTCAATGGAACCCCAGTCTTGTTCTGCTTGACCATGGCTTGACATCAACACCATCCAAAAGCCCATATTGCAACCAACTAGTAGAAATCAGTTCAACTGCGTGCGACAATCTCCCTCTCAAAAAGTCCCTCTTCTCATCTTTTTAAAATGGAGCCTTTAGCTAATCATGGACTTATAATTTTGTAAAAATATTGTCTACAATTAGCATTAATCAATGTTAAACATCAATATTTCAGCTCTAGATATGACTTAAAATCACATTAAAAGGAAAATTAATTTTAGAGACAATTATTCATTCCAACAAAAATGAAAAATTCAAAAAAGGTGTGAACATCAAAATTACCCACTTCAGGATAAAAGGAAAATTTAGATTGTGAAGATGACCAGTAACATTGGAAATGAAAGAATGAATGAAAGCAAATAACCTCCCTTACATCAAGCATCCATTTAGATGAATTTGTAGCATATCTAGTGCATAATTATTTAGAAAGAAGTTGAGGAGGGGAGAATAAAACAAACACATACAGAGTGAAAAATCCAGGTTATTAATATCAAAGCTAAAGAATATGACACTAAAAAGCACAGAATAGTCTGTGCAAAAAGCGAAGTAGCAGTAAATACAGGCACTAACCATAACCCTATATGGATGATTGCATTTGTGAGGGGTCACCTCAGCTCCAACAGAAAAGCACTCCACACAAAGGTCAAAATCAGGACAAGGTACACACTTAAAGCGGATCTTTCCTGAGATATCTTTGTTGCAATAGTTACAGTGGTACAAGGCCTTCTTCCCGTCAGTTAATCCTTGACCTAAAACAACAGAAACCATGAGTTTTCATAGTGTTTTACATATATGCAAAAAGACAACTAATTATTGACCAAAAAGTTTAAAGGTGACATTTAAATTATATAGGGAGAACTACAACTAAGAATTAAGCAACAAGGCTTTAGAATACCTTCCCCGCCAGCACAAGAGAGGGGATGGCGGTGGCAACTTTTTAGCAACCTAATGATTATCATAATCCCAACAGAAAGTCACCCATGTTATATTCCCATGGAATTACATATCTAGTTACTATGAGTAGGATATACATTCAATGACTTTCTTTGAACCCTCACAAAGTGGGCAGACTTGTGTGATAAGGATTATGTTATTTATCTATTTATAGTAGGTCATGTATGAATCTTCTTCCTCCATTTTTATAATAGAGGAGGTCATTTTCAGCATAAGCTTGAATGCTTCATGAGGATTCATCAATTAGAAGCAGAACCCTGGCCTCTTTTTCCCCTCATTGAATGCCGCCCGCCCACTTAGGTCTACGAAACTATTGTTTGCAAATTCTTTCATTTAACCAATGAGAGTTATGCAACAAATGCTGATAAAAAATTAAGAAATTGTTTTAAAAAATGAATTTAAGATATCAGTCCAACATTTTGTTAAACAAGAAAATAGGGGTGTTTATTCTCATCATTGGGCTCAAATACTCCTTTCTTGTCACAGATGAACCACAAAATTCACTCAAGCAAACAAGGCTTGATGCAAAAGATGCTATTCTTTCTTTTTATTATTTTGATGCTTGGATTGGACATGTTGACTCATAAAAGTTATTCAAAATTGGAACCTGATAAAAAATTTTGAGCAAGGAACAAATGATGGAATGATAATTCACCTTTCACTAGGCAGCTAATTTGCCATGAAAAACAATTTGTGAAGGCTCTTTCCATTTGTTTTGTGCACAGAACAGTAGAGGGAAAAACTTAATCTTATGACTGATAGACATGATACCTGTAGTAACCGGTTCTAGGTTCTCTGCATTTGATGCATTCCTCTTTCTCTTGGATCGGCTGAATATTACAAGAAAAGGAAAAAAAAAAGAAAGAAAGTCTCATAATGAACTACCAGAAGAGACAAATATCAATATAAGAAGAGTGATGAAAAATCAACAACAGAAACTTTTTTCTTTTCTTTCACAATGCACCAAAATAAGGTCCTATCCTATCCCAGGTAAATGCAAGACGATAAAAGAGGTTATTTGAATGAAAAATTAACATTTTAATATAACCAAAAAAAAGTCTGTTATAGATTTTTTACATATATTGGCAAAGCCACCAGAAAAGAGTAGTAATTGGTAATTTATAAGCACAAGCCACATAAGCTACATAAAGAATGTTAACCAGTGAGATCAATCATGATTCTAGAAAGAATCAATAAAATGAAGAGCTAATGCTATGGAAAAGTACAATGTAGAAAAGTTGAGGATCATCACACCTAACAAATGAATAAGCATTTAAACAAAAATACGGTAGAGAAGTCAATAGTAAAACAATGGAATAGAAGAGAAGGACTTGAATATATATATATATATATATTAATTTCTCTATTTATTTGCTCATTTATTTTTCAATTTGGGCACATCTGACAAGTACTTCAAACAAAACAAACTAACAAATTATGTACTCTGTCACTTAAACCGCTGCAAACATTGCTTCAAATGAGAAAAGTCGTGCATAAAATTCCCCAATACATCAAAGGTGATTATCTATTTAAGTTTGCCAACCATAGTAAGCAATTAAGGCAAACACCTTTACAGCACGAGACAACTAGAGCAAATTGAAATTTGCTCGCCCACCGCATTTGCAGCCAAAAATATATATAAAAGACCAAGCAAAAAAAAAAACCTAAGATCGCTGCAACCCCAATGGAGAAGTTGATTTGGAATAAAAAACTTCAAAATTACAAGCGGGAGTATAAACCGGCAAACACAGAGAGGCGCAACAAGAAGGAAAGAATTTGTACAGACCTTTGGCTGGGATCATCATCGGCGGAGTGGGCAACAGCGCGGGATCGACCCATTTTGGGGTTCTGAATTAGTCTGATTAGGGCTGGGACGGAAACAACCCTAGGAGCTGAATAGCGACGGCTAACGGTAAATAATTCTAGCTAGTCTATACGTGTGAACTCACAAAGAGAAGAGGAAATGCCAGCATGTCGTTCTCTTCTCTTGAGCAGGTGAACCGTGAACCAATTCGCTCTGCGAACGTGCCTGCGAGTCGGTCGGAGATCACAAACGGCGAAAACTGAAAAGTGGCAGCGCCGGAACGAAACTAACCCCCAATATTTATATAATTACAATAATACCCCTCTAATATATGTAGCGATGGGTTTTCCTAAAATCTCTTCGAGGTTCCAGCCCTGTAGTTTCAAGCTACTTTTACCCTTGTCCGTCTCTCTCGTCGCTCTCTCTTCGACTCTGCCCGTCGCTGTTCCCCTTTGTGCTTCTTTCCTCTCTTGTTGCCCACAAAATTATAGTGGGTAGTTCTGCTTCATTTTTTCGGAGTCACCGTGTTGCAAATCTTCGAGTTGTACAGTTGGTATTACAGCTGCCATTCAGGCCAAGTGAAGACTCCGTTCTCAACGCTCCGCCGCTGCTGCCTCCGGCCGAATTGAAGCCCGACCTGGGGATTTTTTGTTTGCACCTCAGAAGCTCAAAACTACTGGTAATAATTATCACTTTTCCGACCATTAGCTGGGGACTGTTTGTTTTTCATTCTTGCCACTGATTGAAGATGCTGCTGATCATGTAATATAAACTTTCAAGTCCTCCCTCTCTCTTTATGGACATCATAGAAAATAGGTTAAATTTATCATTTATTGTGGCGTGCTTGTGCAAGGTTGCAACTACCGATTTTTCAAGGATTGTGAGACTATGCTCTTTCCAGAGTAATATTAATGTTTCTCTTAATTGTTTGATAGAGTAGCATTGGTTTATGGGTTTTGGTCTGGCAGGTTCTTACTAGGACATTGTTGTGGTTTTCAGTTCTAATTATCTATTTGGTTTCTGTTTTTATTTTTGGTTTGGACATTGGTTTTGGTTTTCCTAAGTATCCATGCTCGGCCCCCTCCTCTGACATCCCAATTCCTGTTGAGGATGGGAATTTTACTCCCGCCCTCCCCATATCTGCCCCACAGGCATCCCTATTTCTTTCTTTCTTTATTTAAAAACTAGTACCTTTTTGATTTCTTAGTTTGATTAATGGTATTTCCTTTAAATCAAAAAAGCTATTGCTTACTTACAAATAGATACTGTTTAATCTTACTTGGTGGAAATCATTGTTTCTGTAAAATTAAGTAATAATTTTTTATGTTTTGTATGTTTCAACAGTTGCAAGTTGGGGATATATAAGAGATTTCAAACTTTCAAAAGTTAAAGAAACATGACTATCTGATAGTTTGCCATAATATTTATGGCTATTTATATTCAATTCACGCTTTTAAAAGTACATAAATAAATGTCATAGCGGAGTGAATTTTTTTTTCCTTTTGTAAATTATAGGGAAATAATTTACAATTTTTGAAGGATCATGAAGAAGAAGCAAGAAGTTTAATGATCTCAAAGCCCAAAATTTAAGGGGAAAAAAGAATAAAATTTTAAAGCATATTTTTATATTTTGATTGTTGTTTGAATATTTTAAATAGGTAAAATATTTTATCACCTTCTTCTTATCCCATATTGGAAGTTCAAGTATTTTATTCTTGCAATCTGATTGTTCAATACATGTTAGTTACCCACCCTTGTTTTTCTGTGTTTCTTTTATCAACTTTTGCAACATCCTATGTGCTGTACTCATGGTTTTCTTTGTCGTTTGTTTCATGCCTTAGTAGGAATGGTGGGACTCTCTCTTGGAGAAAAGCTTTTCATACAAGGTGGCATCGCTCAAGGCCTTCGTACTGATGGAAGGAAACGGTTAACTTATCGTTCCATATCTGTCGAAACTGGAGTTATTGAACAGGTTACTTTTGTGACGAATATGTTAATTTATCACTTTCCTTTGCCTTAGTTCAGCTGGCTTTCCTAGCTGAATGGAGATTTTTTTTTTTTTTAAATTTCTCTTGTGTAATAGCTGCTTATTATGGTTCTTTACAGGTCAATGGATCAGCAAGAGTGAAGATGGGTGCAACAGATGTTGTTGCTAGTGTCAAGGTGAATAACAGTCCTTATGTGGGTTGCTTTTATTTCACATCCTCACACAATTTCATTTACCAAACTTGTCAAGGTGGCAACTCCCCCACTCTCTGGAATTTTTTGTAGGTCTCTGTATTGGAGATTCTCTCTGTTTCTCGGCTTCCAGAAATTTCAATTACCACTCAAGTAAAAATGACCAGATTCTGGACAGACAATGTGGTTGCAAAGCTATGGCTTTGGCACTTACTCTTTCCTTCAGCATCCACCAACATAGAGTAGGTGCTAGGTTGGTTTCTGTTAAACAACAGGAACAGTAATTTAAACATAACCCTAGCACAATATTTATGAGAAAAAATCCTGTGCTGTCCAAGAAGTAAAATGGCTTAAATATCCTTACTTAAGTAATTCAAACAAAAATTAAATAAAACCCAGAAATCCCTAATAAGCAAAATGACCTAAGTACCCTTACTTAAATAATTTAGATTGAAATTAAATAAAACCCTGACCAACACTTTATAAGACAATTAATAAAGGGAAAACAACTCTAAAACAAAAGAAATAACTTAAACTAAACACCAAAACAATTTCTAGGCTCTTGCAAACTCCCAAGTAAGACTTCCACCCAACTTATGCCAAATCAAAGGTTGGCTTTGGAAGAGTTTGTTCCTTTTCTTTTATAAATCTTAATAGGTTGCTGCCAATTATCTCTATCATTTCTCTTTGGCTTGAAAAAGCTTGACTCTAGCAAGTTAAATACATGAATTCTCTTGTAGAAATCAGGATTGAGTTTGTGGAAATCAGCCTTTGAAATCCATATACAATCATATGGTGGATGACCCTTCCATCTGATGAGGAACTTTTGGTATCCTCCACTGCATGTTGAAACCAATTGGTGATCAACATCTTCAATCTGTTCCTTTAAGTGTGCTGTTAGTGCAGGCTTTGTTGTAGGAGAAGCAACACTAGAATCATCTTGATGACCTCTATATGCAGTCAATTTTTCAGCATTGAGAGTGTTGCTAATGCTGACATCGTCTAGTAATTGAAGGACATAAGCATTGGAGCTTATTTTCTTGAGAATCTTGTAAGAACCAGCCCTTCTGGAATGAAGTTTCTTATAGGAACCTCTAGGGAACCTCTCAGGACAAATATGAACCATACCCATATCTCTCTCTTGAAAATCAGCAAAGCGCTGTTGCAAATCTACATGGGACTTGTATTTCTTGTTACTGATTGCAATCTTTCTTCTAAGATCATCATGTATGTCCAGGATATGCTTAGAAAAAAATTCAGCTTTAATACTAGGACGAGTTTCAAGAGGTAAAGATACTAAATCAATTGGTTGTCAAGGCTTCAAACCCGTCCCCACTTCGAAAGGACTAGGTCTAGTGGTTCTATTGACTGAACTATTGCATGCAAATTCAGCAGTATGATGCATGCTCACCAACTAGACATTGTAAAAGATTTCACAAATTGTGGTTAATTGCTTCATTTTGTCCATCTAATTGTGGATAAAAGGGCAATGAAAACTTCAATGTAATTTTTAACATCTTCCATAAACTTCGCCAAATGTGGCTCATGAACTTCACATCTTTGTCCAAAACTATTGTTAAGGGCAGCCCATGTAGTGGAACAACGTTTTTGAAGAAAACCTTTGCAATATGAACTACATCGGAAGTCTTAGAACAAGCTATAAAAGTGTGCCATCTTAGAGAACCTGTCAACCACTACAAAAATAGAATCATGGCCCCTGGTTGTTTTAGGCAATCCAAGGATGAAATCCATGCTTAGGTCTTGCCAAGGCTCATAAGGTATGTGTAGGGGTGTGTAAAGAATAGTATTCTTCTTGGTTCCCTTAGCTAGTTGCCATACTTGAGAATGAGATATAATTTTTAGGCTCTTGCAAGCTCCCAAGTAAAATTTTTAGAGGTTTAGGGCTGATGGGCAATGCTGTGGGAACAGTAACTTGCAAAGAAATTAGGAAAAATAAAGATAAAGAATAAGAAGAAAATCTAGAGATCACCGCTAAAAACCTTTAGGAGGTGCCTAAAGTTGGATTGCATCACACAATCTCAAAAAACTTAAAGAAACCTTGAAACTTTTATTAATCAATGTTTGCCCTTAAACATAACCCTAGCACAGTATTTATACGAGAAAATCCTGTGCTGCTTTAATAAGTAAAATGACCTAAGTATCTTTACTTAAGTAATTTAAGCAAAAATTAAATAAAACCCAAAAATCCCTAATGAGCAAAGTGACCTAAATACTCTTACTTAAATAATTTAGATAGAAATTAGATAAAACCTTGACCAACACTTCTTAAGACAATTAATAAAGGGAAAACAACTCTAAAACAAAAGCAATAACTTAAACTAAACACCTAAAACAATTTTTAGGTTCTTGCAAGCTCCCAAGCAGCATTTCCGTGCTCCAACTCATGCCAAATCATAGCTTGACCTTTGGAGAGTTTGTTCCTTCTCCTTTATAAATCTTAATAGGTTGCTGCTATTTATCTCTATCACAAATATTCTGTTTCAATGTAAGCATTTTATACCCGATGTTGTCATTATATTTGTGAGTTTGCCGAGCAGGCATTTTATTCAGTTAGGTTACTCTTAATGTTCAATAATACTCCTTTAATACCTTATGCAAGATTAGGATTGAGCTTTTTGTTTTATTGCCTAGTAATTCACTAAGTTGCAGGCTGAACTTGGAAGACCAAGCTCATCACAACCTGACAAGGGCAAGGTTGCCATAAATGTTGACTGCAGTCCCACAGCAGCACCAGTGTTTGAGGTTGGTCGATCTGTCTGACTCCCTCACTTTCTCAGTCTCAGTCTTAGTCTTGGTCTCGGTCTCGGTCTTGGTATCTGTCTTTGTCTCTGTCTGTCTTTTTCTCTGTCTATCTATCTATGTTGTTTTTCTTCTTTCTGATGACAGTAGTTGCCTTCGGGTCATATGATTCATTGTGTTGGTGTGATCACGTAATGGAAGCTGTAATTGGGCTTTGTGCTAGTAATCCTAAAGATAAGAATTTGTGTAAAATTTGAAAGAATCACATACTTTGTATCTTCTCTTGTTAGGAGAGATGGTATAATCAATAACATGTTGACATTTTTTCAATGTAGGAATAAAGTACATATTAGCAGCATATACTTTGTATATTTCTGCACCATCTTCTTAGCGAATTGCTAAATACAAAAGGAAACATACGTCTGAGTTTCCTGAAAATATTTTGAGTGTGCCCAGAGCAGAAATGGGGACTAATAAGAAAATAATTTTAGACTTCTTGGAAGTTTAACTGAAAAAACAGAACTAATGACAATAAATTATTGATTCTGTTTACTTGAACATGGATGTTATCATTGTTAGATGGCCTTAGACTTTCTTCCTTTTTAATATCCATTTCTTAGATTGCTTCCTAAGTTCTTTGGAATTTTCTTTTGTGACTAAAGTAAGTGCAGCTTGTTCTTATTGTTGGGTTTTTCACAATCTTTATTAGTTGGGAATCTAAATGATTAATAATTTGTGCTTATTCTGCTCAGGGCAGGGGAGGAGAGGAATTGTCAGCAGAACTCTCAGGAGCCCTTCAAAGATGTCTCTTGGGTGGCAAAAGTGGTGCAGGTTCAACTATTAATAAACCTTGAATGTGGCCTGAAGTTTCACTCTTCACATGCTTCAAAATTCATTCAACTTACTGTTGGCCCTCATCTATATTTGTATCTGGTTGCTGCTCCATGCATATTGGTAACCTGGTGATTTTAATGTTTGTTGTATGTTAGGAGCTGGAATTGATCTTGCATCTCTCTCAATTGCGGATGGAAAGATCTGTTGGGATCTCTATATTGATTGCCTTGTGGTCAGTGCTGATGGGAATCTTTTAGATGCCTTAGCTGCTGCTATCAAGGTATTTGAGCTGCATATTTCATCATTTAATTTATTTTATATATTTGATTTTTCAAATGGAATAGTAGGTTGAGGATGACGGATATGTTGGTGAATTTTTGTGCAGTATGGTAAGAGAAGCAAGAACTTATAAAGAAAGCCTTTTGGGCTAAATTAGCAAAATAAGGGAAGTGTGATTGAATTTTATGTTGAAATTCTATTTTCTGTATATGAAAGAATTAATGATATAATGCTCATCATACGGAGCAGTATTCAAGAACATGTTAAAAACCAATATATCAGAACTCAGCTAACTTTTGCTTAGCAGAAGTGCTGGATTTGAGGATACATGAAATGGAATTTTTGGTAGTTCGTAATTCTACATTTCTTGGTTCCTTTATAGCTGTATTAGATTCTCAAGTTGTGTGCTTTAGGAAAAGGTTTGGACTTGAGGGCTTGAAATCTAAATCTGACATCTTTGTATTGCTTTCTTTAGCACATAAATATGTCATTTCTCTGTCTATGTCATGTATAAGTTGACTGATTATTCAGAAGATGTAAGTGAAAATAAACAGATGGCAATGTTCCCTTTTCCATTATAACTAGTTTTTATATGTATATTCCCCATCAGCTGTAAAAATAATTTTTATAGAATTGTTATTGTACTCCTAGGCTGCTTTGAGCAATACATTAATCAATAAAGTTGAGATTGCTGCCTATACCTCTTCTGATGAACAACCAGAGGTCGATCTCAGTGATGAGGAATTTTTAAAATTTGACACATCAGCAGTCCCTGTCATAGTTACATTAACAAAGGTAAGACCTTTTGTAGCTTTTCTTTTTTTCTTTTTTTTTTTAAATTTTTTTGTTCCACCAAACTTCTCTCTGCCCCCCTCCCCCTTCCCCCTCTTTTTTTGCTTAAATTTGGGCTACATTCTGCATTTACTTTTTGTAGGTGGGAAAACACTATATTGTAGATGCCACATCAGAAGAAGAATCACAAATGAGCTCAGCTGTCTCTGTTTCTGTGAATAGGAAAGGACATATATGTGGACTGATTAAACGAGGGGGCACAGGCCTAGATCCAAGTGTCATCCTAGACATGATATCTGTGGCTAAACATGTAAGTGAACAGCTGTTTGACAAGTTGGATTCTGAGATATCTGCAGCTGAAGCTTATGAAAGGGAATAGTAGTAACATGATTAGCTTTTGCAGTATTTTCACCTTCAGTTAAAAGATTATTTTGTTCCACAGAAATATTGGCTTTTCATCATCTTAACCTACAGAATAGGGGGAGTGTAAGCCCGGTATTGAGTACTCTGTACTATTAGCTGTGCTTTTAACCCACATTTGTGTAAAAGCAATCTGTATTATGCCGAATATTCTGTATCATTGTCTTACGGTGTTTAGACAATTCTACAAGCTCATTAGTTTACAAGTCATCCACAGTTTCTGATCTTTATCAGATAGTTTCCCTGGAAGAGAGAGAAATCAGTCGAGCTTCGTTTGACTATACAGTTTCTATGATATGAGGAATTATGTTGGCTTTGACATTTGTATATCTATTATAAAAGCGGGTGGATTTTGGAGGAACAGGAAGTGATCCTTGTAGCCTGCTTTGAACTAAAGTTCCAGGTACAGGTAGGCTAGATTTTGCCATGGAATTACAGTGGGATGCTTTTCAATTTCTGTAAGAAGGTTGTCATCAGCCACAAACATTGTCATAGTTCCTGTACTTGAGTTCCACGAGCAATTAGGTATCAGCCCCTGAATTTGGTTGTGAGAAAGCTCTAGAATTGCCAACTCATCTTGGAACTCCAAAACTCAGGGAACTTCTTCAAATTGCACTCTTCTAAAAGAAGAAATTTAATCTTTGGCAAAGTAACATTATTAATAATCTTCTTAGAGCACAGTTTGTTTGTTATATGATCAGCCAAACCAAATCAAATATTGAAGCTTGAGAAAACCGCTTAACCCTACTTTAACTAAGATCAAGGTATTCAAGATGCTTGAGTGCATAGAATGAGCTAGGAATTGGGCCACGCACTTGGTTGCTCGAAAGATCAAGAAAATTCAATTTGGTGAGATTCTAAAGCCAGGATGGGAATTTGTTAACTAACTGGTTGCTATGGAGGTTCAAATGAGAAAGTGTAGTCAAATTCAAAAGAAACATTGGTATCTCACCTTGTAAATTGCAATGAGCAAGATCCAAATAGGAAAGTTCAGGTAGCTGATCAAGTGCTGGTGGCATTGGACCTGTTATAAAATTACCATAAAGAAGTGATAAATAAGTTAGACGTGTTGACGAAGAACGAAGGTATATTACCAAAAATATCATTCATTGAAAGGTCCAAATATGTGAGCTCGTGTCCCTGGAAATATTTTGATTGGAAAGATTCCACCATCCATTTGCAGTAGTGCTTTCCTTCAGTTACTTGATTTGTCTAATAACAACTTAAAGTGCTAGACTTCCCTCCCTGTCTGGCAAATATTGCTGCTTCCTTGGTACTATTAAATCTACGTTTCAACAGTTTCTATGGAAATATGCATGAGATATTCAATATGTTTACTGATCTAAGGGTGATTGATTTAAGCCAAAATCAATTACGTGGAAAGATACCAAGATCAATGGCAAATTGTACAATGCTTGAGGTTGTAAATCTAGGCAATAATTACATAGATAACAATTTCCCTGTGTAGCTTGGATCTCTCCCTGAATTGCAAGTTCTTATTTTGCCAAGTAACAAGTTGCATGAAGACATTGAGAATCTTACCATTAGTCGTTGTTTTCAAAGTTACGAATCATTAACCTCTCCTACAATAGTTTCTCAAGTAACTTGCCATTAGAAAATTTCGTAAATGGGAGGCAATGAAAACGGTACGTAGGGATGGGTTACAAAATATGGTTGAGCAGCCAATTCTTCTTGGTTCTCAAATATCATTACTCAAAATCAAATTTCATTTTCCCTATGAATGGTTTGTCAGTTATGTTTATCCGACAACAATAGTAAGAAAAAGGATGCAATGGAATTATGAGAGGATTGTACGGGTCTTTGTAGCCATGGACCTGTCTAGCAACACATTCAGAGGGGAGAAACCAGTGTTTCTTGGAAATCTCCAGGAGTTTCAATTGCTTAACTTGTCCAATAATGAACTTGATGGTCAAATCCCTTAATCTCTGGGGAATCTAATGCAGCTGGAATCATTAGACCTATCTCAAGACTTGCTTTAAGAAGAGATCCCTCTATACCTTACTGGTTGTTTTCAATGTTCCACCACAATCTTACTGGACGTATACTTCAAGGTCCTCAATTTGATAATTTTGATAACAGTTCGTATGAAGGGAATCCGAGATTGTGTGGAAAACACTTGTAAAAGCCATGCGGAAGTTTAGAGGCATCTCCACCTCCACCTCCACCCGTGGAACAAGACACAGACCCAAAATTCCCTGTCATAATTTTGGGATACCGAAGTGGAGTAATTATTGGATTTATCCTTGGAGCAATTCTGATGATAAAGAATTACAGTAGGTTTGTGACGGCTTTTGGAGGCAACGAGAGAAAAGAAAGTATAAGGAGCAAAGACGCCGAACTTCCATAATTTCCTAGATACCGTAAGTTTTCCTGGAGCAAAGATTCGTCAACACTTGGGTGTGGTGGCATTTGAGATGCTTGCATAGGATAAAGTCTGTCTATTGTGCGGTTTCCCGTTCTCCTCTTGGAACGTATTTATTATCTATTGTTTTAAGATGTTTTTTCATGTAAAATATATCTAGAATTGTGTGTAAATGGTTTGAGAAATTATAAGTTGGTTTAAGTTTTTGTTTGTACTTTTTTTTTCATAAAATAAAAAATAAAAAACCCAAAAAGGAAAAAAAAATACGGTTTTTAATAATTTTTCTTATTTTCCCACATTTTTCATAATGAAGCAAATGAAAAGTGAAATTGACATGCAAAATTTTAAAAAAAAAATAACTTTTGAGGTATAACCAAACAGTCAATGTGCGTCTTAAATTCTTAAATTGATTATGTTGGTAGAAGATAGAGTCAAAAAAAAAAAAAAAGGAGCTTTGTCTTGTGCCTTTTGAGTTTTGGGCTCTATGAAATACGGGAGGACTAGTGGGAGTTTAGAATAGGAGATGGGGCAAACTTGTGGCCTATTTCTAGATGGATTTAGTATGCGTATCTTTAAAGTAGAACAAAAGCGTTGAAGGAGACCAAACAAGCGGCCATGCTATGACTTCTGACATACATTATTATCAACCCTTTTCTGTTTTACCTTGCTCAATGTTGCGTGCTTAGAACGTCTAATTGGCAAGTGTACCAGTCGTTCAAGTAATAAAGTGTGTGTGAGTAGAGTGTCGATCTTACGAGGATTGATTTTGGTTGATTTGCAAACTTTGACCTAACTTAAGCGTTAATTGAGAGAAAAGTGAGGTTGCAAAAATTTAATAAAAATAGAAAGTAAAATTTCTATTAGCGAGGAAAATTAAGTGATTATACAAGAGAAAGATCTAGGTGAAAAATATGTGAGAGACAATGTTGGAGAAAATGATTTCACTAGTACCACCTTAATTTTGCTTGGTATTATGAATTAAAATGAAATCTAGGACTGCTAATAAAATTATGAGATGGCAAGATTTCTAAAAATATTAACCTTCCTACCGCACCGGCTAATCTATTTTGAAAGTGAATAATTTCGTCGGTCTCTACCGAGCTCTACCTAATTTACTCAATTCCAAAATGCGTTAAGAGTAGTGAAATCTCTTTCGGTTAAGCATCCTACCGGACTATCTAAACAGGCCACATAATAGAATTTTAAGTATTCTACTGAACTACCAACTTCCATTATGTTAAACAATGCTTGGACTTTTCTTTCAAATTACAACTTGGCTTGAAATCAATTAATGCTACCTAACAACTCCTACCGGACGATAACAAGATTGTGAAAATCGATTACAAGTTAAGTAGCATTAAGATTAGCATTACTCAATCTCATAAATTCACTTTTTCTGCAATAAAAAAAAAAAAAACAGCTTTCAAGAAATCTGAAAATTTTGCTTAATCCTTCATAATGTTCCAAACCAAGCTAAAAATCAAATTATCATGTAAACACTCTCAAGCTCACAATCTGAAAATTATAATTGCAGAACCCTAAAATCAACAATTTCAAATCATATTATCAAACAAAATCAGGTTGTACAACAACATCATTTTCTCAACTAAGATAACTACTCCATAAAATTATTCAACAATTTAACAATAAGATAAATTTTCAGCAAGAGTTCATACATGATATCAAAAACAAAACAAAACAAAAATTTGTTGAAAATAATAACAAGATTAGGGAGAAGAACTCAATCTAGAAGACGAAGAATTTGAAGATTTTGTAGTGCTTTTGGAGGTTGCTTCTGCTGAAGTTTGGTTGCAGAATTTTCTGGTGTTGCTCTTCCTCTCCAATGGTTGCACTTGATCTTCTCCTTCCAATTTCCAGATTACTCAGAGTTTCTCCCTTGTTCTCTCACTCTTTCTCTCTTGTTCTCTCTCTCTCTTCCTCCCAGAATTTTGTGCTCATTTCCTCCTTTTCAAACACTCTCACCCACCTCCATTCAAAGTCAAAGACAACACTCATTTTTTCAACAACAACCAGCTGTATATGATCTGTGTTGTTTTTCCACCGAAAATTTCTCTACAAGACAGCTCCAAAAGGTTCAAAATAATTGAAATGAAACACCAAGTTCAAGTAGTTCAAGTTTTGGGCATTGGGCATAGAGCTAGATTGTCCATTAGGGTCATGGGTATTTGGATTTGAATTTGCAAACTTTGCTGCTGCTGCTGAAACTGTAAGTTTGCTTGCTTCTTTCAAATGTTCCAACATCTTTCAGGCTGAATTGGAGTAAGACCCAAACATAAAAGTTGTAGAATTCTTCCTTATCTTTCTAACGCCTCTTGAATCAGCTCAATCAGAATTTTCTACCTCAAGTTATGAATTTTTTCCTTCCAACACGCTACTGCTGAAAAAACTGCAGAACTGTTCTGACTGTTACAGCTGTTTGCTAAATTTTGAACCTTTTCTATACCTAATTAGATTTTCTCCAAAACACAAAAGTTGTAGAGCTTTACCTGAGGTTTCCAAAAGATCTTGAATCATATTAATCTGAATTCTATAACTCAAGTTATGAATTTTTTTCT